AATGTTCATCAATATGCTAAAGAGAGTTTACATATCGACAGAGGAGTTTAACAAATCGATGACTAATGTTCATCAATATGCTAAAATGAGTTTACGTATCGACAGAGGAGTTTAACAAATCGATGGCTAATGTTCATCAATATGCTAGAGTTTACGTATCGACAGAGGAGTTTAACAAATCGATGGCTAATGTTCATCAATATGCTAAAGAGAGTTTACATATCGACAGGGGAGTTTAACAAATCGATGACTAATGTTCATCAATATGCTAAAGAGAGTTTACATATCGACAGAGGAGTTTAACAAATCGATGACTAATGTTCAGCAATATGCTAAAATGAGTTTACGTATCGACAGAGGAGTTTAACAAATCGATGGCTAATGTTCATCAATATGCTAGAGTTTACGTATCGACAGAGGAGTTTAACAAATCGATGGCTAATGTTCATCAATATGCTAAAGAGAGTTTACATATCGACAGGGGAGTTTAACAAATCGATGACTAATGTTCATCAATATGCTAAAGAGAGTTTACATATCGACAGAGGAGTTTAACAAATCGATGACTAATGTTCATCAATATGCTAAATGAGTTTACGTATCGATAGAGGAGTTTAACAAATCGATGGCTAATGTTCATCAATATGCTAGAGTTTACGTATCGACAGAGGAGTTTAACAAATCGATGGCTAATGTTCATCAATATGCTAGAGGAGTTTACATATCGACAGATAATCAGTTTCAAGGGCAACGCGTGTGTTGCGATAGTGGTAGTGGTGGTGTTTTTTTTTACCACCCCTCCCCCTGCTCTATTTTTTCTGGCAACAAAACTGAAACCTTTTTACAAGGATTCATGTTTACAGCATTAACCACAATACCTGCGGTCAAAATGCAAACAAAAAACATACTGTGATTATATGATGCATTGTCCTTGAAATTGATTGGTCCACACCAAGGGACGCATTTCTTTTGAGCCTCGACCCAATTGGTGCCGCTCGAACAGACGACGCCAAAAAAGGCGTTTACACAGCTCAAAGACAATGCCGCTATCAACGTAATGAGGGCTCGGGGTGAGCATCTACATAATCATTAGATCTCCTTTGCCAGGACCAAAATGTAATAGTAATAATAATAGGGGTTTTTCCTCCTTTTTCCTGGCAACAAAACTGAAACCTTTTTACAGGGATTCATGTTTACTGCATTAACAACAATACCTGCGGTCAAAATGCAAATGAAAAACACACACACTATGATAATATGATGATGTGGCATTGTCCTTGAAACCGATTGGTCCACACCGAGGGACGGATTTCTTTTTGAGCCTCGACCCAATTGGTGCCGCTCGACCAGACGCCGCCAAAAAAGGCGTTTACACAGCTCAAAGACAATGCCGCTATTTCAGTTTTTTGCTTGTTTGTTTATGTTTGGTGCAGCCCCCCCCCCTCCCCGTGAGACATTCGGCTCTTGAATAGGAGTGCGTGTGTGAAAAAACCCAGCAAAACATTCCTGAAGAAAGCGTCGTGCACCACCGACAACTCTGCGTGCCGAAAACCATCTCAGCGGGATGCAAAGTCAAACAACGACAACCACCACAACAACAAATTTTGATTTGAAGCTTCGTAAGCCATCTGGCTACCATGAGAGATTCGTTCACGAGGCTATCCACGTATACAAGCACAGAGGCAATTTCAACCGAGAGGATGGATTCTGGGCTTAGCAATCATTGGAAGCATTTGATGAACCATTTCGGGATCTTAATTGATTGATCACGCTTACGGTTACCATGAGAGATTCGTTCACGAGGCTATCCACGTATACAAGCACAGAGGCAATTTCAACCGAGAAGATGGATTCTGGGCTTAGCAATCATTGGAAGGATTTGATAAACCATTTCGGGTCTTAATTGAGTGTTCACGCTTACGGTTACCATGAGAGATTCGTTCACGAGGCTATCCACGTATACAAGCACAGAGACAATTTCAACCGAGAAGATGGATTCTGGGCTTAGCAATCATTGGAAGGATTTGATAAACCATTTCGGGTCTTAATTGATTGTTCACGCTTACGGCTACCATGAGAGATTCGTTCATGAGGCTATCCACGTATACAAGCACGGAGGCAATTTCAACCGAGAAGATGGATTCTGGGCTTACTAATCATTGGAAGGATTTGATAAACCATTTCGGGTCTTAATTGAGTGTTCACGCTTACGGTTACCATGAGAGATTCGTTCACGAGGCTATCCACGTATACAAGCACAGAGGCAATTTCAACCGAGAAGATGGATTCTGGGCTTAGCAATCATTGGAAGGATTTGATAAACCATTTCGGGTCTTAATTGATTGTTCACGCTTACGGCTACCATGAGAGATTCGTTCATGAGGCTATCCACGTATACAAGCACGGAGGCAATTTCAACCGAGAAGATGGATTCTGGGCTTAGCAATCATTGGAAGGATTTGATAAACCATTTCGGGGTCTTAATTGAGTGTTCACGCTTACGGTTACCATGAGAGATTCGTTCACGAGGCTATCCACGTATACAAGCACGGAGGCAATTTAAAACCGAGAAGATGGATTCTGGGCTTAGCAATCATTGGAAGGATTTGATAAACCATTTCGGGTCTTAATTGAGTTTTCACGCTTATGGTTACCATGAGAGATTCGTTCACGAGACTATCCACGTATACAAGCACAGAGGCAATTTCAACCGAGAGGATGGATTCTGGGCTTAGCAATTATTGGAAGGATTTGATAAACCATTTCGGGTCTTAATTGATTGATCACGCTTACGGTTACCATGAGAGATTTGTTCACGAGGCTATCCACGTATACAAGCACAGAGGCAATTTCAACCGAGAGGATGGATTCTGGGCTTAGCAATCATTGGAAGGATTTGATAAACCATTTCGGGTATTAATTGATTGTTCACGCTTATAGTGGCTTTCAGACAGCATACATTAATTTTTCGTCTCCCCCCCCTCCTTTTCAGAACATAGATGGACTAGTCCTTCTAAACAAACTGCTAAATCGCTGCGCGTGGCGCTGACGTTTTTTTAAAATAAATAAATAGATACACCGTTTAAAATAAATAAATTAATGCAAACCGACACACCTGATGACGACCGTTTGTGTTATGGTCGAAACGTCGTGAGAATTTTTATTGTTATATATATTTTATTAGTTTTATTGTTTCCCTTCAACGTGACTTTACCGAAAGAGCTAAGAATATGAACCACAACAACAACAACCACAAGACAACTTTAGATTAAGGCCATCAGTCGCTAACTCCGTACGACAACAAATCAAAGACATGGCCGAACCAAAAACAACGCTTTCCAAATCACCGAAACATAAAGCCGTAATTGCAACGTAACATTATGAGACCTCCTTTGCCAGTAACAAGATATTGAAGTAGGTTTTACCCTTTTAACTGGCACAAAAGGTGTCAGTTTTTGTGCCAGTTAAAAGGGTAAAACCTATTCCTATATCTTGTTACTGGCAAAGGAGGTCTCATAATGTAAATGCTCACCCCGAGCCCTCAATACTCTGATAGTGCGCTGTTTTTGAGTTGTACGCCTTTTGGCGTCTTCTGGTCCAACACCAATGGAGACTAAAGGGCTCTAAGAAAAGCCGTCTCGGGTGTGGACCAATCAAATTCAAGGACAGTGCCAATATTATTATCAGAGTTGTCTCTTTTGTTTGCATTTTGACTGCTGGTGTTGTGGTTATTGCAAACACGATGCCTTGAATGAAGGTGTCAGTTTTTGTGCCCGTTAAAAGGGTAAAACCTATTTCAATATCTTGTTTCTGGCAAAGGAGGTCTCATAATGTAAGTGCTCACCCCGAGCCCTCAATACTCTGATGGCGCGCTGTTTTTGAGTTGTGTGCCTTTTGGCGTCTTCTGGTCTAACACCAATGGAGACTTAAGGGCTCTAAGAAAAGCCGTCTCGGGTGGAGACCAATCAAATTCAAGGATAGTGCTAATATTATTATCAGAGTTGTCTCTTTTGTTTGCATTTTGACTGCTTGTGTTGTGGTTATTGCAAACATGATGCCTTGAATGAAGGTGTCAGTTTTTGTGACAGTTAAAAGGGTAAAAACCTATTTCAATGCAACGTAACAGTTGATCACGGGGACTCAAAGTTAATGAGGTCTCAGGATGAGCATCTACATCATTAGACATCCTTTGCCAGTACCAAAATATAATACTAATATGGTTCGTAGTTTTGTTTTTTGATTGACTGCAGGTATTGTGGTGAATGCTGTAACACGAATACTTGTAAAAAGGTTTCAGTTTGGAGGAATAACCCCCCGATTTTTATAACCTGGTCACAAGTAACCACATCACTACCGCCATCACTAACATCACTACCATCATCACTACCACCACTATCACTGACACCACCACCATCACTAACATCACCACCATCACTGACATCACCATCATCACTACCACCACTATCACTAACACCATCACCACCATCACTAACATCACTACCATCATCACTACCACTACTACCATCATCACTACCACTACCACCATCATCACTACCACCACTCCCACCACCACTAACATCACCACAATCACCATCACCACCACCATCACCACCACCATTACCACCACCATCACCACCAGCATCACTACCAGCATCACTACCAACACCATCACTACCACCACCAACACCACCAACACCACCATCACTACCACCACCAACACCACCATCAAACTCAACACTTCACCCCTGCAGTTATTCCTGTGGTTACCCATTACCCCTGTGGTTACCCCAGGAGCACGCACAGCTACCCCTGTGGTTACCCCTGCCGTTACCCCTGCCGTTACCCCTGCCGTTACCCCTGGTTACCCCTGTGGTTACCCCTGTGGTTACCCCTGTTACCCCATTACCCCTGTGGTTACCCCTGTGGTTACCCCATTACCCCTGCGGTTACCCCTGCGGTTACCCCTGCGGTTACCCCTGGTTACCCCATTACCCCTGTGGTTACCCCAGGAGCACGCACAGCAAGAGCGATCGCCGCAACAGGAAGTTCAAGGAGGCTGAGCGACTCTTCAGCAAATCCTCCATCACCTCCATGGCGGTGAGGTTACCCCCCGGTCGCCATGGTTACCGTAGTGACCCCACGGTCGCCGTGGTTATTGTAGTGACCCCCCGGTCGCCGTGGTTACCGTAGTGACCCCCCGGTCGCCGTGGTTACCGTAGTGACCCCACGGTCGCCGTGGTTACCGTAGTGACCCCACGGTCGCCGTGGTTACCGTAGTGACCCCCCGGTCGCCGTGGTTACCGTAGTGACCCCACGGTCGCCATGGTTAGCGTAGTGACCCCCTGGTCGCCATGGTTACCGTAGTGACCCCACGGTCGCCGTGGTTACCGTAGTGACCCCACGGTCATCAGCGTCACCATAGTCACTATAACTACACTGTGACCCCACCGTGACCCCGCAGTGACCCCGCAGTGACCTCTCCGTGACCCCCAGTGACCCCACAGTGACCCCACCGTGACCTCTCCGTGACCTCCCCAGGCCATCAGTGCGCTGGCCGGAGGAGGAAATGACGTCAACACAAACTCCAGTGAGTGACATCACTAACATCAACAACAACAACATCAACAATAACATCAACCATCACCAACAACAACATCACCAACATCAACAATAACAACATCAACAACAACATCAACAACAATAACATCAACAACAATAACAACATCAACAACAACATCAACAACAATAACAACATCAACAACATCATCAACAATAACAACATCAACAACAGCATCAACAACATAAACGACAACATCATCATCACCAACATCATCAACAACAACAACATCAACAACATCACTACCACCAACAACATCACTATCAACAACATCACTACCAACATCAACAACATCACTACCACCACCATCAACATCAACAATATCACTACCATCAACAACATCACTACCATCACTACCTCCACCATCAACAACATCACTACCATCACTACCTCCACCATCAACAACATCACTACCATTAACAACATCAACAACATCACTACCATTAACAACATCAACAACATCACTACCTTCTTTGGTTCTTTCGGTAAAGTCACGTAGAATGAGAATAAAATAATAAATTGATAAAATAAAATAACACAATAATATTCTCACGACGTTTCGGCCACAACACAAGCGGCCTTCATCAGGTGAAGGGGGCGAGACTGTCTGGTAGGACAGCGCTGGAGTGAGAGAGCCACGTTCAGATCACGGCTTTTAAGCTGTGTGAGAGGAACAAAGAGCCTTGACAAAGTAATTAGCATAAAATTTAGCATTGAAATGGCTGAATGATTAGCTTGTGACTGGTCACAGAAATAGCTATGTTAAAAGTTAAAGCATACACATCCGCAGAGGCACCCATTGTTAAAAGGAATTAGCATAGAATTTAGCATTGAAATAGCTAAGTTAAGGCATACACATCCGCAGAGGCACCCCTTGACAATGGGATTAGCATAGAATTTAGCATTGAAATGGCTGAGTGATTCGCTTGTAACTGCTACAGAAATAGCTACGTTGAAGTCAGCATACACATTCACCGAGGCACTTAGTACAAATCAAACAGGAGAATTTAGCATTGAAATAACTAGGCGAATTTAGCATTGAAATAACTGGGTGATTTGCTAGTGACTGGTCACAGAAATGACTACACATCTGAGCTATTCACAGTACTATATAGTGAACCAATAAAAACTAAAATATAAATTACCTTCATGTTATCAATAAACTCTATATTCTCCAATCAGCTAAGCTACCAACCATAAGTCGTTATATATCACAATGCTATATGGCGAAAAAATGGGTGGATTCTTACCCTCAAATTTCCGTACCACGGATAGCTACGGGCCCCGTTCAGACGGACGAGTTCGTCCATGGTCGGAACAGAGGAGGGGGAGAGAGACAGCTGCGAGGCCCTAGTATACTCCATGTTGTAAACCATACCATTAACCGTGGTGTGAGAGGTATTAAGAGGCAATGCTGGCGAAAGAGCTGCGGTCTGAAGGTCATCGTAAAATTACAATTAATTAAGAACATAAATGATTTAACACATCTTTCCAGTGGTTACTAAGCCTGAATCCATCTTCTCGGTTGAAATTGTCTCTGTGCTTGTATATGTGAATGGCCTCATGAACGAATCTCTCATGGTAGCCGGTTGGTTTGCAAAGAACCTCCGTCTTGGAGAAGTCAATGTCATGTGAGCCCACTGAATTGTAACAGTGATCTGCCACGGCAGAGGAGTTCGTCTTACCGTGTTTCAAGTCTGCTTTATGTTCGCGGATGCGATCCGAGATATGTCTTTTGGTTTCTCCAATGTAGCTACTACCACAGAGGCACTTTAGTTTGTAAACGCCCGGGTACTGTATGTCTGGAAGAGCATCTTTTACAGATGGAACTAAATCACGGATTTTGTGTACTGTGTTGAATCGGACCTGGATCTTGTGTTTATTCAGGATTTTGGAGATCTTTTAGTGACCCCTGCAATGTAGGGTAAGGTGATGGTTTTGAGTGGCTCCACAAGAGGATCCTTCTTCATGACTGGAGTGATGGCTTTGCGGATTGTGTAGTCGGGGTAGCCATTAGCCCTGAGAGCCTGGTGTACGTGCTTGAGTTCACTGGTAATGTGTTCCTGGTCGGAAATGCATTGGGCTCTATGGTATAGAGTCTTGATGAGGCAGTTCTTCTGGGATGGATGGTGGTGGGAATCCGGTTTCAAGTAAGCATCTGTATGGGTAGCTTTCCTGTAGACAGAGTGGCTCATTGAACCATCATGTCTCCTTTTAATTAAGACATCCAGAAAGGGTAGCTTGCCATCTTTTTCGACCTCCATGGTAAATCTGATGGCTGGGTGTATGGAATTGATGTGGTCGCGGAATTGGTCTAGAGCAGGCTGGCCATGTGGCCAGATGACAAAGGTGTCATCAACGTACCTCTTCCATAAGGTCGGGCGTAGAGTGGCAGTCTGGATGGCGTCAGTTTCAAATTTTTCCATGAATACGTTGGCTACAACCGGAGATAGGGGGGAGCCCATTGGGGTGCCCTCAGTTTGTTTGTAGAAAGTTCCATTCCAGGTGAAGTATGTGTTGGTTAAGCAATGTCTCACCAGGGGGGGTACATCAGTATGCAGTCCTTGATGAACCAGGTCTTCAATGATAGCGATGGTGTCAGGTACCGGGACTTTGGTGAACAGGGACACCACATCAAAACTGACAAGCAGGTCGTTTGGGGACAGGGAAATGTCTTTGATTGTCGATACCAGGTGAGTAGAATTTAGTACCGCAGAGGTGGTTTTTCCAGTGAAAGGTCGCAGTATATCAGCCAGAAAACGTGCCAGTTTGTAGGTGGGGGAGCTGATAGTAGAGACGATGGGACGAAGGGGTGTATCTTCTTTGTGTATCTTTGGAAGGCCATATAATCTTGGTGGTCTGGCAGCAGAGGGTTTCAACGAGAACTGTTTGATCTCATCAATTAATGCTGTTGAATCAGAGATAATTTTGTTCGTTTTGGTGACCAGGCTGTTGGTGGGATCTCTTTTTATTTTTGTATAGCTGCCATCGTTGAGTAGTTCTTGAATTTTGTTGTTATATTCTGTTTTGTCCATGATGACAGTGGCATTGCCTTTGTCGGCTGAAAGAACGACAATATCATCCCTCTTTTTTAATTGGGATAATTCAAAACGTTCGTCTTTGCTGATGTTGCTAGGTGGCAACTTAGCGTTTTTGAGGGTTGCAGCGATTTCAGATCTTGCTACGTCTGCAGAGATGTGACTCAAGCCCTTGAGTGCAACGTCGACATGGGCAATGATATCATTAACCGGTAAGTGTCTCGGTGTGACAGCAAAGTTTAGACCTTTAGCTAAAACGGATTTCAGACCATCAGAAATGGAACTGTTACTGCGATTAATTACGACTTTGTTGACGTCTATCTTTTCGGTGTGTGGATCCGATTTTTTGCTGGAGAGGTGATTGAATTTGGAAATCAAATTGTCCCTACATTTGTTCGACATAGTGGCAGCCGAAGAGGTAGTCATATTGTCTACGTGTTCCCAATCCGATGTAGACATTGTTGCTGTCAATTTTAAGTGTGATTTGTAGAGTGTCTTGTCTAACTGATCGAGTTCGGTGCGTGTAAGTCTGATTTTTTCCGAGATAAGAGCGAAGCTAGTTCTAGCTAGAATTCGTTTTGCATTGAGAGAAGTTGCAACAGCAGAGGTTAGTGTAAATGCGGTTGGTATTACCTTAGAGTCGCGGCATCTCTTCAGAAAGGTGAGAGACTCGATTAGTTGAGCCTTCTTATCCCGAAGTCTGTTGAATGATCTTAAGGATGTGTGGAATCCCTCCCCGTAGAGGCGGTTAAATTTCGATTTAAAGCTTTCGTGACTGCAATGATTCATCTTCTTTGGTTCTTTCGGTAAAGTCACGTAGAATGAGAATAAAATAATAAATTGATAAAATAAAATAACACAATAATATTCTCACGACGTTTCGGCCACAACACAAGCGGCTTTCATCAGGTGAAGGGGGCGAGACTGTCTGGTAGGACAGCGCTAGAGTGAGAGAGCCACGTTCAGATCACGGCTTTTAAGCTGTGTGAGAGGAACAAAGAGCCTTGACAAAGGAATTAGCATAAAATTTAGCATTGAAATGGCTGAATGATTAGCTTGTGACTGGTCACAGAAATAGCTATGTTAAAAGTTAAAGCATACACATCCGCAGAGGCACCCATTGTTAAAAGGAATTAGCATAGAATTTAGCATTGAAATAGCTAAGTTAAGGCATACACATCCGCAGAGGCACCCCTTGACAATGGGATTAGCATAGAATTTAGCATTGAAATGGCTGAGTGATTCGCTTGTAACTGCTACAGAAATAGCTACGTTGAAGTCAGAGCATACACATTCACCGAGGCACTTAGTACAAATCAAACAGGAGAATTTAGCATTGAAATAACTAGGCGAATTTAGCATTGAAATAACTGGGTGATTTGCTAGTGACTGGTCACAGAAATGACTACACATCTGAGCTATTCACAGTACTATATAGTGAACCAATAAAAACTAAAATATAAATTACCTTCATGTTATCAATAAACTCTATATTCTCCAATCAGCTAAGCTACCAACCATAAGTCGTTATATATCACAATGCTATATGGCGAAAAAATGGGTGGATTCTTACCCTCAAATTTCCGTACCACGGATAGCTACGGGCCCCGTTCAGACGGACGAGTTCGTCCATGGTCGGAACAGAGGAGGGGAAGAGAGACAGCTGCGAGGCCCTAGTATACTCCATGTTGTAAACCATACCATTAACCGTGGTGTGAGAGGTATTAAGAGGCAATGCTGGCGAAAGAGCTGTGGTCTGAAGGTCATCGTAAAATTACAATTAATTAAGAACAGAAATGATTTAACACATCTTTCCAGTGGTTACTAAGCCTGAATCCATCTTCTCGGTTGAAATTGTCTCTGTGCTTGTATATGTGAATGGCCTCATGAACGAATCTCTCATGGTAGCCGGTTGGTTTGCAAAGAACCTCC